TGTCGGGAAGGTGAGCATCATAGAATGCCAATTTACTAGAAGAAAGTATTCTTGTGTTGAGGGAGTACTTGAGTGGAGGCCCAATGTCCTTCTAGAGCAGCTAATATTAAGGGCTCAAGTAGAAGGCAAATGTTTTGGGAATGATGATGGCAACAGATGTTCATATGTGCTTGACACAATGGATGGATGTATGGATTGTGATAAGAATTGTACACGCCCCCAATAAAATGATAAAAAGAGACACTATGAGTCTTTATTGACTCGATGGCAGTGAATAACCTTCTACTTAGTGATATACCCTCCCTTCCCCTCCTATGCCGGGTAGCCTTCAAAGGATGTTTCTCCCTCTCTGTGTAAACTTTGTCTTAATTTTTTGCACTAGAGTTCGCATACACAGTATTCGTCCTTCTGTGGGTGACTAATTTCACTCAGCATAATATCTTTTGGTTATTCCATATTATGAAGTACTTTTGAAATTTATCATTATTCTTTAATGTTGTATAACATTCTACTGTGTATATATACCATGGCTTGCTTATCCTTTCCTGTTCCAATCAGAACATTGCTAACAGGAATTCAAAATGATCGTGGTATGTTGATTGGCGGTTCACCAATCTGCATGTTACTTTGTTCTCTGATTTTGTTCAAGCTCTCCCTCTTATCAGTATTTGATATACTTCTTTGCCCTTTCCTTTGAAATTCTGGGTTCCAGGATTGTCGTCTATAACCATTTCACATGACTTCTTGAGTGTTTGCTGTAAAGGGTGTAGATAGCATATCTGCCTAATAGGCCAATCTTGATCCTCCTTCTTTTCACTTTCTTGATAGTGCCCTTTGATGCACACACTTTCTTAATTTTGATGAAGTACAATTTATCTTATTTCTCTTGCTTGCACTTTTGGTGTGATAGCTAAGACTTCATTGTCAAATAAAGTTAATTTGCTTCTAAGAGCTTTATCTTTTTAGCTCTTACATTCAGATCTTTGACTCATTTTAGGTTTCGCTTTTGCATATGCTGTGAGGTAGGGCTCAACCATCATTCTTATGTATATGGCTATTCAGCTGTCCCATCACCATTTGATGAAGGGATAGCTTTCGTCATTGGCACCTTTTTTTGGAAAACCAATTGACTATACATTTATGGGTTCATTTTTGGATGATCAATTTCACTGTTCCCATTGATCTCTAGAGGAAAAGGGGGATTATTGATGATCTGCTCTGAGTAGTGACAGTAAAGGCCCTTTATCCTTTACTATTGCTTTTGCACAATTATTTCTTCCATCTTCACGAGTACCACTCCCTTAAAAGTTGCGTATCATTGTCCCCATTCAACAGATGAGGAACCAAACCAGGAGAAACCAAATGATTTGTTCAAGCTAAACTACAGCTGGAATTATAGTGCGGGCTTGTCAGACACCTGAGTCTTTTCTTATTTCTATGCCCTTTTGGTTGCCCATAGCTCACATTTGTATATCCTTTTCTGGTTCTACAAGTGCTTTAACAGACATGATCTCCGTTGTTTAGTTGCTTTAGCTTAAAAAAATAAATGAAACCCGTGTTGTTTCCAACTGCTGAGAGCTATATTCGCAGTAAGGGAAGAAGACTAAAGAAGTACTGAGTACCAAAGGCTTAGCCTGGGAACTCAGTCAAGAACTAGTGGAAGGAAATCAAAGGAGAAAGCATGAAGAGATATTTTATTTGTGAGGTGAGCACACAACAGTGTGGAGAAAGGATGGGGGCAATGAGGGAGGAAGCATTCTTTTATCACTTTCCTTAAAATGAGAATGTGGGGTAAAAATCCCAGAACAGCAACCAAATGTGCCTGAAAAAAATCCCCGACTTCAGTCCCAGTGTGGTTGGTGACTTGTGGTGTGCCTCCTCCTTAAGTAGAGTGCCCTGGAGCTGGAGGGGAGGCTTAGGGGTACTGGATCATGGCAGCCATTACCAGGGAATGAGGAGAGGAGCCAAAGGGTGTGAGCTGTCAGCCTTGAATAGAAACGGCAAGGAGCCACCATCTCCAGAATTAGGGGATTCTGGAAGGGAAAAGGATGCCTTCCTTCCCAAAACAGAGGTGCTTGGAGAAAAGGATCTTAATAAAGAAATGTTTGATCACTCTTTTATTGGCCAGAGATATAAGGGTTTGAGATGAAGCGGAAAAACGATGTTCTCTTGCTATTTTCTCCTTATTGGTGTCTCAGGTTTGGAGTAAACAGAAGAGGAACCGAAGTGGCATTCTTTCCAAAGTCTACAATCATTGTCTCAGAATAGCCTCAGTTTTGTCTAGGCAAGATTGCTTTCACAGTTTCCTGTGCTACTTAGTAACCTTTTGTTTTATAGGCTCTTGGAATGGTACTAATCAATAATGGGAATCTCACAACTTAAGCCCCAGAATTTTAACAGAAACTCTCTCTCTCTCTCTCTCACATGCACAGAGACATGACCCCAATATATTGTAAGATCAGAATTATTTGTTGAAAACATAATTATACCATCCTTTGGGCCATCTCCTTTGCCCACTCCCTGCCCAACTCTTCACTCTATTCCTCTTGACTCCCTCTTCTTCTAACTATCCATTCCCCTACCCGCCCCCCCCCCTTCTACTGATTCTCTTCTCTTCCCTGGCCTCTCTGTGAAGTCAATCTTCATTTTGTCCTTCTCTGTTTCGTTCTCTGTCATAGTCAAATCCCTTTCAAAGATTATCCTGAACCCTTGGCCTCACTGCACAGATAAAACCTTTTTTAGGTATAGTTTACATTGCATGATTGTTTCTCCAGGCTTAGGCCTAGTTTATTTGTATAGAAGAGCTGGTCTCATACTGCAAGAGCTTGTGAGTGAGCGTTTAACTGACAGGAGGCCAAGGCAACATGATTTCTGGGAGTTCCCCAGGGATGAACTTTCTTCTCAAAATTCTGCTGGTGAAGTAAGTGTATTTCTGAGCACACGTCCCCTCTAAAGCAAGCCAGCCCTTGGAATGGTCTTAAGCCCCTCTCCCTCACATATTATAGAGGCTGATAAACATTTCTCTGGTTGTCAGCGAGCTTCATCACAATGTTTGCCGTTTGTAGATCTTCAAATCTCCTTGAGATGTAAATAGGAACCTACTCCAAGGAAGGGAGCAGCAGAATTGTGTTCAAACTTGCTGGAAGGGTGTTCCCCCCGCCTATGCTCAAACATGGGTGCCTGTGCCACTGCCAAACCCGCCCACACACTTTAAAATGAGCGTCTGCTCTCCATTAATGTGGTGTAGATATGCAGCAGAGAGAAGGCACACCGATTCTGCAGACAGCTCTCGATTATCCACATGAATGGAAGAGGAGTTATTAACATAGAAGACTGGAGAAAAAAACAATTTGCCCACAGTTTAGCCCTTATTGTATTCATAAGATGGGAAGCACAGGCCTGTTTGGGAACTAATGAAAAGTGGTGACTTCCTTTAGCAGTGATTTGGCCTGCTGAGACTAGGGCCCCAGTTTATCTTATTCTGGATAAGAGTAGTTGTAACCATTGAAGGGCTACTTATACCACCA